CAATCTGCGATGTGCATCAGCAACTTGACAGATTATGGATATATATATATATATATATATATTCAATGAGAGTTCAATATATATAATATATATTGAGCTTTCAAACAATTAGATACGCGTACGCGCCCAGTCGTGGAGTCTAGGAGAATAAGCATTATACTACGATTTTTTTCATCGATATCACGCTTCATGTGCGAATCCGTTAGCAGGTAGAAACTGGCAAAGGTTGGGATTAGCAGTATTTTGTTCGCAATGTCTACAAGAATATCGGCCATGCTCACTCAGCAGGCATCCTAGAGTGGTCCTTCAGCCGCAGCTGGTATCATCCTGATGGATGACGCGCCACAGCGGCACCTGCCTTATAACCTCGTTTCTTCCTATCGTTGCTTATAAGTATCTACTTTCCTCTATTTATTCGTTTCTTTCCTTATTTCCTTCGTTTATTGGGCTCGATCCTGAATTGTTTCCCCTAGCATCTCTGTGGTATTCTCGGCAAACTCCATTTCTCGACATGCGCGCTGCTGAGCGCACTACTGTTCCTTAGTGGTGGTCGATGCCTGTCTTCATCAGTTCACTCTAAGAATGACCATTGCCTTTGCCCCTGTCACGATTACCTCACCGCGCCCGTTTATCCAACCTGGGCAATAAAGCTATCAGGACAAATGAACGGAGGAACTAGGTTTTCTAGGTACAATGCATCCGTTTGTCTTTTACACTCAGTCTCAGAACTCGATTTCGAGTACAGTAAGAAACGTCCTCCTTACTAGCTACTGTAGGGCGTATAACTACGGGTCCGCGCTAGGGGTTATCTAATACGAGAGCGAAATAGCCTTGGAGATGCGATCAAGTAACGTTAGTCAGACGACCGTCGCGTCATTGCTTGCCCTTGTTGTGGCAATGCTACCCGCCTGTTCGCCCAGCATGATGTGATTGTATACCAAAGTTGAGTAGACTGGCAGCACTGAAAGTAGTGATGGTAAAGGAGCTAGCTGAAAGACTAGCTCAGATACGAAAAACGCGGTTAGATGAAGAAAATTTCATAATCGAATTTGCGCTTATTCCGCTACTGATCAGTGCATAAAGTGTTGAAGTGTTTGCCGAACCAATTAGTTCATGCCAGCAAAGAAATACGTAGCTTATGTCAATATAAATCCTAGACACTAAATTAACGTAGGGTCCATCACTGCTAGGACTGTAAACCTGTAGTTTCAGCTAAAACTATGTTCTCAATTAAAAGCCCAAAAAATAGCTCTCGTTAAATCTTACATGAAGACGCTGAATAGCGTATTGTGCAGCGTGAAAGGTTCCTGTTAAAAATATAAAGAAAGCCTTAAAAATCTACAATCGGATTTTCGCAGTCCTATAAAACCGGCGCTAAAAGTTCCTAAAAAAAACCCGCCAGACACTTTTAGATGTTATCATGTCTTAACATCTGCATATCCATCTCAGAAAATGTGCCGGACATGTTTCTGAAAGCTCATTGCCTTTGTTAGAAAGAGGAATATATCAACCTTGAAGTAAAGGTGACATTGAAGTTCGGGTGAGTTCCTGTGAACCATGCTTCACAAAGTCACCATGGTTTCGTACCTTTTTCGATGTGCTGGTCGTAGTTTTACTATCCTACAGCTGTCACGTCTCGCACGCCATGCTACCCCAGGGAAATCGCAGCAGTTCGTGGTCAGTTACGCGAGACTTGTGGGCAGAAATAAACATTAAATGGAAAGAGCATCTCATTTGCAACGCTCATCTGACTCAGCTTACGAGGGGAACAACATCAGCATCGATGAGCATCTGACGCCATTTAAAACCCTACCGACAGGCTTTCTCGACAAGCTGTTTCTTCTTTGCCCCTTTTACCTGCCCACGATGCCGCGAGCGCTTAGACATCGGAGGCGCTTATGTATGTGGCGGCAGTTTAGGGTGGTTCCCATTAGATGTAGTGGGCTACGAAGGACATTTAGGCAAACGGTGCACGGCGGACGATCAAGCGCACTGGCGTTTGCCTTGCTGCCGCAGGCCTGCCGTCTACTCAAGGGAAACAGCCTTAACTAGCCAGCAATGTCGTTTACGCAGCTTCGTTTTGTTGCTGCATCCTCTTCCGTCTGCTTTCGTCCTGCTCCTATTTTATCGTTCCTAACTGGTGGTCAGACAAACAACTGCCCGACAGCCTTCGTCGCCAGGCCGGCCTGTTGGCGAATGAGAATCCGTGTAGAACCTAACGAAAATAGGCGTTGGTGGATAAGCGGGTTGAAATATAAGCTTACCGAGAACATTCACCTTTTGTGGTGTGTCCCAAATGGCCCGAGTTCGTCGTAGACAGGACAGATGGAACGACGGAAAACTGGTTACACAGCGAACAAGAAGAACGCCAAAGAGAGATGGCTCTAGTTGAACGTGTATCTGTCGGGCTAGCTGGCCAGTGGGCTTTTCATTACGTCAACAAGGGTTTATCCGACTATCCACAAGCTTAGTCAGTTTAAGTGAGGAACAATTGCTTCGTGGGCACATTGCACGCAAATATTGAGTAAGCATAAAGACGCTCGCTTCGTAAAGAATGAGTCAAATGTATAGGAAAGTAATTATTTAGGGCGACCACCTACCATCTAGTGAGAGTGGGGGCAATACAATAAGCACTTTAATCTTATCACAGGAAAGTTGAATTAGGGTCAAAATAAAATATATAATTCAGTGCCGCTCACGTAAAGCTTCCTCTTTATACTCTAGAACGTCACGCGAACGCTGGTAATTTAATTTATAGTATAGATAATTAATATATAGGTAAGAATAAACATACGCTATTCGTGCCTGTATACTACATGAAAAAAACTCACTATTCTAACTATCTCAATGTGATCATAAATTATCTAGAAACCAACGATTTAGAACCCAGCGTTGTCACATCAAATGTATAATTTCTCGTAAATATCGATAATGAACCCTTACAGATTCAGACCCCGTTGCGAGATTTACTGATTGCTGCCGTTTTTTCCTGCTTCGTTCACATCCCTTTCACTTTCTCATCTCGTCACTGGGCTCTTTTATAACTTCATTTTTACTGCTGCAAAGTCTTTTGCCTTGCCTAACTTTATTACCAAAGAGAAGCCATGACAATTGGGCAAAAAAAAGTCTTCTCCAATTACGTGGCGAACCCTTTAACGACATAGCTTGTAGTAACTCACGCAGATAACGGAAAGCAATAAAAAAAGTCAACCGGTTTAGAGAACATGGTGACACTTATACCCACACGTGAGCATCGAGCTTTGGGTCTGAAGAGAAGCTAACGCTGCGAATTACGATACAATACCACGATATGGCGGACAATCTATATATAATCTACGGTTTCTATTTCTCTTATTGATTTAGGCGTGGAGTATCTCCCTCGCGCGGTGCTCTGTTTCCACAGTTGTTACGAAGCGTGAAATTTTAAAGATGTCCCGAACATCCTTATAGAAAAATTCGAAACAAACCACCGATACTATGCTCATATTTGAAGTATACTAGTAGATCATATAAATGTTTCTCTTCGACTGCCTCGACTTGAATCTATATTTCTTTATAATCGTTTACTCATTCATGCTTTGGTCCAGTCATGCGTGTGAGCGAAACATCCGTACTATACGTACGTCACAGCAGGGGATTTGATCCGGCGGAAACTGTTTTTTCTGTGAGAGATTTTGCCTCGTAAGTCACTAGTCAATATTTGAGCTAAGCTCAAGCTGAGCTCTGTCGAAAATTTAAATTGCTATCGTGACGATCGACGCCCAATTTAGATAGAATAATAACAAACAAAACATTTTATCGTAAAATTTATCTTTTTATCAAAGTTATTAAATTTTAGAATAAGTTATAGGATATTTTTAAAACAAAATTTGATAACTTTAATCAGTTAAGTTTTAAGATAAAAATTCAAAAGTTTACATTAGAGACGAGTTGTGCGAACTTTTAACAAAGTAACGAAAACACTCAAAAGGTACAACCCACTGTATAGCAAGAAATTTGCATTTGATTGTTTTAGACATTGGGATTTACTATAGTTAACTGGTAGGTGAATTATACAAAAAATAGGCAAATGATGTAAACATAAGTTAATTTCGTATAGCCGGAAAATAGCGTTTCAGAGCAAAATATAACGACGTGTGTTTTAAACCATTTCATGGCCTCATATTGCCATCTGCTATCCAACCATAGAATGTGTGAGAAAAGCTTTTCCCGTTTATTCTAGCCACCTCTCGCCTTCAGAAAGCCGTAAACGGCGTCGCATTAGGACTAAATACCGAACTAGTTTGCACCGAAAAGACGTGGTTTCCAAAATGCGATGCCTACGAAGCGTAGACAGCTTTTTCGCAACGTTGACGTCTGAAAAAACGTCGATCACTTTTCTAACGTTTCGTGCGATTGTCGGATTTGTGCGCCGCAGCCTTTTCTAAAACGGAAGCTACGTTAAATACGTAAAAAGGACACTGCACTTAATATATGCGCATTTCTAATAGATCAATGTTGCTGCATAATCTGCATTAACGAAACAAGTTGTCTTACGTAAACATCACTTTGACTGTAATAGAATTTATAGTTTATAAACCAATTAGACTATAATATACATTACATAGACAACGGGGATTACTTATTTCCTTTCCAGATCGGCACCTATTGTACGAAGGTAGACTTGGGTAAGAATTATGGCGACGATTGAGTTGACGTTATACTGAATGTGCTACAAGGAGGCCCTATGAAAGTAGCACGTCATAAATCCAACTCCTAAGTCTGGGTCGGCCGTACCATTCGTTTTGGTTTGGATCAGTATTACGAATGTATACCTATTCATTTCATCTAGCTATTTTATATTCTATATCTTTCAACTAGCAACTTTACATGAATAATGCGCGGGATGTTCAAGTGTATTAGAAAATATATGGTTCAGTTGTGCATTTATGTTCTTCCACATAATGCCTCACAGGTCGCAATAGTAGATATTCTACTTCGATGTCTTTGTTTAAACTTACCATGCGTTCCGTGCTGAGGGAATGATCCGAAGATGTCCCACGAGACTTTGTCAGGATCTGAAAACAGGAAAGGGCAAAGAACAACGACGGAAAAGGCGTCACAAAGCTACCATAGCAACAACACAGCATGAAGCGATGCTGAGTGGCAAAGATGTTGAGTACGACGGTGCCGGCGATATTGTATCGCGTCTACATACCAGAAAAATTAAAACACACAAAAATAATGTAATTATAGTGTATTTTTTCTGAACGAACAAAAAAACTAAGCAGTTGAGAAAAGCGGCGCTTAACGCAAAAACACGATTGATATTGAAGGACGTGGCACAGAACTCCGTGTTTGAATCCACCGTTCTCACAATCATCCATGTTAACATCCATTTCAATACAGCCACTCTCCTTTTTGTGAAGGTGTTCTCGACAATATCATGAGAGGGTCGCCGATGCAGAGTCCACAGCGGTCATATGTGTTCAAGCGAAGTATGATTAGACCTTTACTATTTCAAAGGAAAACATTTCTAATGACACACGCACGGCAAATATATGTCCTCTTACACACTGTTTGGTTCTGTTGTGGTGTATCATGACACGGCGTTGTATATCTTTTCGAAACAGCAATAGAAGACAGCAATAGCGGACTCAATGGAAAACGGCCTTCAGCCATCTACACACTATGACAATGAACTTTGCGCATCGAACGTATTTTCACAAGCAAGTTGACTCGGTAAATAAAGCATTTTTATAATTTTCCATCGTCGACAACTTCATCGGCTGTTTCTTCAGTGGGGTTTAGAGGCAGTACTACTTCGCGTCGTTATCACTCATGCAAATCAGATATCCCTATTCTGGACCTCCTCGCAGCGGAAAAAGCTGTTTCATTGTTATTACTTATAAAATACTTATGTTCGCTTCTACACTACGACTAAATCTATCCCTTATGCGACCATCAGGAATAGTTGAAGCCTGGAAATAATAATACGCTATAGCAACGTCCTTAGGCAAACAGTTCCAACTCATCCATTTGCAATGGCTACAGAAGGATCAGGTTAGGTTAGTTTTTTAAGACATTTCTAGGAGTAGAAAACCTGCACCGCATCAAATTTGGGTATGCATAGGTTCTTAGGCAATTATTTCTCTTTGCACCTATAAAGTCGGCAGTTAGAGGTCATAGTTTGCACATGATAATATGTGCCCGATTATAACATTTTGCAATATTTTCGAAGACCAATGCGCTGCGATAGTGCTATATTTGAGCTTCCTTTACATCAAGTAAAGGCACTGTACTCGGATCCATATAAAAAGAAAAAAAGAAAAAAAAAACAGAAAATTCTTGCGGTTTTGAACACATTAGGTACAACACAGCGAATGCTTTTCTGTCGACCTAGTCGTAGGTTTGTTTGACTTCTAGTGTATCTGTTTCGTCGGAATCTTAGGTTCTTTTTTGAATTTGAAGCAGGCGTGAACTTTTGGGTTCGTAGCAGGTAGAACTTCCATCAAGAACACCCTCCAACCAGCAAACAAAAAAAATATAAAAAAACGGGCATTGGTGCCATACAAACACTTACATTTAACTACGCATACTTCAGAATTAGATGATAACAGGAAAAAACATTCAAAGAGGCTCTTAGAACTACCACCGTGAAGCCGTCTCCTTTAACAAAAGGTCTTCGTTTACCACGATAAAAATATTTCATTGGAATTATAGATAACAAGCCCATAAGCGAGACCAAGGTATTGCCTGGCTTGTGGTTAATAACAGTAATACCAATAAACAATACTGTTATTGAAATTTTTTCTCATATATTGTAAAGATGTGCTGCTATAAATGACCACCACGCTTGATATGTTTTTAATTAACGGATTTACTACTATATATTTTTAACAATTTTTTTTTTAGTTTTTTTATCTTTTTTTAGTTTTTTATCTCTTTTTTAGTTTTTTAGTTTAGTTATCTTGCACCTCCTGGTGCACGCTCTAGAGATGCTTTTCTAATGTGTAGCTGGGCTTCGCTATCAACCCCGTATTACTCAGAAGGCCTGCAGGAGGGTCTATCAGACTGATAGTGTAACATAATAATTCAATTAATCTTGTCCCGCAAATTAGATAAGTGCCTATCATCTCGTCACCTGTTACGACTTGGTTTTCTGCTATTGGAGATTATCGTTCGTTGTAGGTACTGCTGATTTCGCAGCGTTTGGTCTTCGATAGTAAATGGCTCCGTAAGGACAATCGCATGGCACAGCGAAGAAGTGCCTGTCCTGCAGGAGACCAGGGCATAGATCACTGGATAATAAGTTAGATAATTAGACCACTGGCACCGAACCTTGCTAACGGCATCGGTTTGAGGATCGAGACGATGCATGGGCGGAGGATGTTATCTAATCTCACAGCTGTTGCTGTTGTTGAAAATTGCCAGTCTAGTTCAGGCCTCATTCGAGTACTAACTGAAACATTAATCCCCATCCCTGTCCTTACTGTCGATGTCAAGATATAGCAAAGCCGAACATACAAAGCCACAGGAGAAGGATAATACACGACAGCGAGTATTATTCAGCATCCATTTAGAGGATCACCCAAGAGGCGAAGTTCACGAACTGAGATCCAACCCCACATGCGGAGATATATACGATTGAACCTTTTTATATCTAACGTAATTTTTCGCTATTTTCCGTAGATTTTACTCTTTACAAGCTTTAAACAATATTAGCATTTAATTATGCGCTATATTTATATGAACCATATGAAATTAATATCACAACGTTGTTTTTATATATAAGTATAAAATTATAGAAAACGAGAAATCTTCTAACTCAGCCTCCCAGATGCCCGCCAGCTGTGCCTACAAGACGTAGTGCGATTTCTTATACACAACACTGAAGACACTTACAGATACAGAATCACTCGAAAACGTTTCAAATTAGCAGTATACGATCAAAATGAAAGATTCTTGTAGCACAGTTACTCTTTTCAGAGTTTAATGAACAACGATGGTCACCGTGACGTACAGAAAACGTACAATTAGAAAGGCCGTATGTATAAAATTAATGAAATTGCAATCGCATAGTAGAATAGAACAGAACAGCCTCAGGCCCCGCCAGTAACACGAATAAAGAAACTAGACTAATAATTTTTAACGTATCAGGATAAAATGGCTAGGGTGCAGATGCTAGGACTTTGTTGGGCCGACTGGTCGATTCGCTTAGACGTACTCACGACAGGCAAATCTGTCCACTAGCATATAGTCTATGATGCTTCGTATAGTGGCATACCGCCAAATATAGTAAAGGCCACGAAATACTCACGATAGGCAGGATACATGTTCTGATCAATCGACGCAGAAATCGGTGGTGGCGGTAAAATTTCGACGAACGAGAAGTTTCCAAAGAATCCTCGGCCGGGGAAGTGTGATGATGCCGTAAAAATGACCAAAAGGTCGGGACCCGTAGATACGAGCTCGACCCACATATTTCGATTGCAGAGCGTGCCGATCACCGGTGCCGACATATCACGACCATCGCGCACGGCTAAAATAACAAAACAACGCATCAAAATGAAGAACATTTCTGTCTTAAAATGACTAACAGCGTTACTTGTGTGGCGTAATGAACCGTATATAGATAAACGGACCTTTCCGGAGACTTGAAGGAAATACCTAGTACACATGGCAACGATTTTTCTTCATCACATTGATATCTATGAGTGTTTTACAGTATCTAATAGTTAACGTAAAGATATAGATACTTTGGTTAAACCATGAGTATTACCGTTGTTCATAGGTTCAGTGATTACGTGGCACGAGCTATTCTCAACCGTTTTGTTTCCAGCATTTTAGCGTGCCCAGTTACATTACAGTTTGTTGCCGTTTAGTTAACGGGAAACGAGACATTCATGTCCCATTGTTGCACACCCTTTGCCTAAATTCTGCAGCTAGCCTCAAATACTTTACATACGCTCATAACGCATGTTACCCAAGTAATATATATACAAACGTATATTTTTTGACCCAAGGCAAAAAAGCAGTACACGTTTAAAGATATGCCTAAAACTTCATAATATGAGTGTATAAATCAAGTATCAACTTTTCAATTTCTAGTTAGCCTTAATAGATTTTGTTCAAAGCTTTACAACTTAGCGAGTTGATGCAGTAGTTACTGGCAAAAAAAATCTTTGCTATATCCTATATTTATGGGTAAGTGGGCTAATTTTTGGAAATAGGCACATACACAGTTGCATATAAACATGTACCCATATGTATATAATGTCAGCCGTTAAAAAATATCTTAACAACGTTTCTCCCTGTGTTTTCTCTGGAAATATTCCTGCTTCCCCGTCTTTTGGCTCATGACCTTACGATATATGTATATATATATATATATATATATATATCGTAATTATAATCAACGTTAAAACTATTTGCATCTCCTAAGTTCATTCAGTGATTCAGTCGCCTGCCTGTCCTGCTGATACGGAAGGACCGCTGTATTGTAGCTCTGCTTCCCGGCTTCCTCCACATTCAAATTATATGCGAGATATAAAATTTGAAACGAGCTTGATATCGTCTTTCTTCATGAACGGACTTCGCTGGACATCAATAGATCTTCTAGCGCCATTGCCATGCATGACCCCTCTATCCCAATGGGTCCCTCGGGAGAGAATCGTCGTTGCTTTCTATAGCAGGCTTGGGCAATATTACATCGAGCGGAACATACGATGAAAATTCGATCTCAGTTCGCTAGATCCATGGATGCACGTTTACATATATATTAGAGATCAGCTAGTGCATGTGTTAACTTAAACGTACAAGCTCATATCAGGTGGAACTCCATGTATTTGGGTCGCTTGATACACATTAATGGTGTACTGTGTAGTTTTTATACCGTTTTTTTGCGTTATAGACGCCCGATTTAGAACTTTGATAGGGAGCGAGTGAGAAGAAAGTAGGTTAATTAGTGATGTTTTAAAGACTTTTTTTTATATTAATGTGTTTGTTATTATAAAGTCGATTATTGACAGAGTCGACTGAGCTCGAACGCTTCCGCAGCAAAAACCTTGTTTCTGAATTTTATTGACAGTGAAAAGGAAGCGGACTCCATGTATTTGCGTCAGTGGCTTAAAAACTAATCCATAACATGGATATAATCGAGATGCATTAAGGGAAGTATCGTGACGATTGGGCCTCACGAATCTGCCCTACTAACTGTTTTTGACAGTCGCACCTTTTTGCAGTGTCGTGCAATCTGCTCGGCTGAGCAACGCAGTGATTTTTGCCACATTTCCTTAATAACGATCGTGTTATAAGCTTCTACACGGGCAAATTATAGACCATTATCTTCACATACGATTTGACAAACGCATTGTTATTGTACCTAGCGAAATTTGAACGATCTATCCGTTTTTTCACCGGCCCGAAATAACACGCCATAGAACATCTAATAAATTCAATTTTTGCCGAATACAAACACAAGCTATCCCCTGTTGCCTCACTAATTGACTATATAGTCTCTTAATTTGTTATGGTGTTTGCCATTTCGATCGTATCGAGCAAAAATTACCAAGCGATAAGGAGTGAGTAGCCTTTTACTTTACCAAGTAAAGGCAGGTATGTGGCGTCATACCATTATTCTACAAATGGATATGTATATGAAACACGCGTGACATGTATAGAAACACTGTTCCATCGTACTTTTGCATCATTTCTGATTTGCCTTCATCCGCATATGGGTCGTGTGTACCAGACACTGCCAAAAGGTCGATGCTCTATATAGGGTGACCAGGGAGGAAATGTCAATCGTCCATGCCTTCACAATGCCATTTAGGATCTATTCGGCATTGTTGGATGTTTATAATCCGTCCAGCGCCAGGAATTCTAGTCGCAAAACACTGCCACTTCGTTGAAATACATATATAAGAAGACTAAAAATTAATGTAGCTTAAATGCGCTTTATGGCATGGTAGAAAATGTTCGCCTCTTCAGTGCATCATTATTACTAAGATCGCGCCGAAACAATAAATAATAGGCCGTAATAAATAGGACGTCTAAAACGTATGTGTTTGTTAGACCTGTTACGAACGTGACCGGTCCCAGAGACGCCTGTGTTCTAACTATTACAGTATATCAATGCTTCGACATAGGTCTATAGCTAGCCAAGAGTTAGCTGTCAACTATCGGGTTTACATACACACGTGACTTAACTCCATTTACCTACAAACGTACCAGAGCGTGCACATGAAAACATATATAACTTGCAGAAAAACGTCATTTCCATCGCTATTTCTATGGCCTCAGAGGATGATAGATCGCTTACGGTATCAATAATATCATCATGCAGACACCATTGGAATGGCACAGAGACAATTTTAATTTAATAACACGAAAGTCGTGGAGTGGTAACAGCTCTGAAGCTGCTTCATGTCACCGACAATGACCATGGGGTAAAAGCTGAAAATAAAGGTTTGTAGGGGGAGCAATATCTGATCATACATTATTCATCTGTGTGACGATACGACTTCGACCATTATCACGAGAGATGCGTCTGAAGGGAACAGAGATTTTGGTACTGATATAGTTGTCTGTAATCATGCTCTCCCGTTGGTCTGAGTTCAACCGGACCCACCACACGGCGTCATCATGATAAAAGATCGCTTTGTGACCCAAATCCCCCCCCCCCCCATACTCTATACTTTGATAGGACCCTTTTACATTAAGCCAGCTAGACGTCTCGGTAATTCCATTAGAGAGAAAGCGCATTCACGAAACCGGATCATTACCTCTCAGGATATGCTAGATGGATTTTTGTTTGTCAATTAAAGTTTTTCGGGTAGATCGATGAGAAATGGTTTTTGGTAAACATATGTCAACTAGTCAGTACGTATTATTGCAGAAACGCAATCCGCTCTTTGGGATGGGTTACTACGACTTCTGGGTCTGCTTCAGGATCAGGGAAAGACAAACAACAACAGTTGTAAACAAACTAAAAATATCATATGTACAACAAAGCCCACTATTCGTGGTCTATGCTTTTTATAAGTAAAAAACTTGCCTAAAAGATAAATCGAATCCCCTTAGGCGACTATTACATTAAATGTTACAGATTACGGCACACGTATGGGTGCAGCATTCTAAGTTAGGTAGTCTGCTTAAAATTCTTAGAATATTCACAGTTTTCCCCATCCTCATTATTAAATTTTGATTGCTTATACTTTTTAACTGTTTATGAACACAACTAGGCAATTAAAGCAGTTATTGTTATATTTTTATCAAGTATCTAGCGAACAACTTATAGTTACCAGCTTCGCTATCTGGCGCGCAATGTTCTTTCGATTCTTACTATACAAATAAATTTAATGACGAAACTTGATTAAGAAAATGCATTTGTTTGCAGTCGTACCTTCTTGCCACGACATTCATTCCCACTGTTTTTATTTTCGAAATTAATTTTCTAGTGGTGTGCAGGTATTCATTTATTACCTTTATCGATTATGCTATTATTTATATATAAACAATCATATGAGAAAGGTTACGCATTGACTTCAAACGTAGCGCACACGTTCGTTCTATAGTGAAACAAAAGAAATCGCAGAACGTTTGCTGGTAGATTTTTAACAGTGGTCGCACTGAGTGGTCTCGAGCTCCCGTACGCGGTCTCATCTGAATCGCACGCTGCAGGCACGCTTAAGCACAGCACGAGGACTCTTTTGTAAGCGAACAGTGCAACGCGAATGAAGGGACTTATTCAATTTGCGCCTGCTATTGAACCTTTTTCGACCCTAGGGACTTGGCGGGTCTCGGGAATCCTTAAAGTTTCGAAGCGCCACCATAAATACTTCATGCAACGACGCATGGAAATAACTCGTAAAGTAAACATGCCGCGTTCGACTGATAGCAGCTTATTACGATCAGAGATATGATCAAGCAATATTAAATTACTCCGTCGAACAGTTTTCATTTGATGAGAAAAATTGGCACAAACATCTTAACGTTACTAGTATATCAAACATTAGCTAAAATATAAAAATTCAGTTTATTCAGCATAAAAATTCAGTTTATTCAGCATAAAAATTCAGTTTATTTATAACAGTTTCGATTTTACTCACGAGCGTTACGGTGTTCGCAGAGTCTCTACCGAACCGCTGGGAGAATCAAATCAACAAACATAGTTGTTTATACAAAAACAGAAAAATGAGATTGTAATTTTGACGTATTCTTAGATAAATACGGGTTATCGTGAAAACGAATCGTGGCGTGTGTTTCTATCTAGGAAAATAATTTTTTTTTATACTCCTCTAAAGATACGTATATCATCGCACTATATGGAAAGAATAATTTTTAGGCACTTTTAGATAGGCATCTAATTTTATAGCCCATATTGTATTACGTAAGCTTAAAGGATCATTGGATTCTTTGTCAGGAACACAACTTACTTCGAACTCAAAACCGGACTCTCGCAGTTATTCCACGAAAGGGCATACAACAGCTTATCACCAAAACGAAGCATATATTTTTCTATTGATCAATTATGGAAACGTTAATGACAGCTTAAGTAAGCTTTGCTAATAGCAGATCAACAGGCGTTAAGTTAGCGCATCACTTTATCGAGGAACAACCAGATAATCTATGATGATGGCCCTCTAGGTCACATCGGAAACTGTCCGGAGCGTAGAACCTAGCGAAACCTAATAGGAATCAAAAGTGGACGGAAAACCTTCCCAGAAGGTTTAATAGGACTAAATGGGAATTTTTTTTTTGCATCTTTTTCAAGCCGAAGAAATGCTACATCAACAAGTATGGCAGTTTAGTAAATATGTGACAGAACTAGATTGTCTGTCTTGCTCTTCCTCTTCTATTTTCGCAAGCCAATCATCGCTGCAGACCATCCAAATTTTAAGAGCAATAAGCGCAACCACTGGAATCTAGTACTGCACTTGCCAGAATGACCCATTGATTGCGTCCTTGACTGCACCTCGTCGGGCACCAAACATGGGGGCATGCAAACATTCATAAAGGGCACGAATACCCGTAGTAACGAATCTGAAAGCAAATAGCGACATGACATTGATAATGTAGGACCAATGTGGCTCCTGTAGATACGGCTACGCACTGCAGGGACCGACTAGGACGAGAATCGTCGACCAATAGCCATGTTTTACGTGTGTATCACTGAGTAGTTTGCAGGTAATCAGGGACCATGTACGCGACGAGGTTATCGAAAACCGAAACATCGCGAGACAATCAGAATCAGCTCAATAGCGAAAATCAAGCGATGGAGGCAAACGTTGTGGACTTAGATGTTAGGCTTCGAGGTGTGGATACAACGTTGAGGCCAATTTACAACAATTCTAGTCATTTCTCAGACCCTCAAGAGTGTTTCGTAGAAGGAAGAAGAAGAAACAACGAAGGGAATTACTTTGAGCCATGCAAAACTCGTAGATTAACAATAGCCATTCAGACATGTTTTTATACGTAGACGTCATTGTCGTTCTGTACACAAGTATCAGTTTATTCTGAGCGTGCTTTCTATGAACCAGAAATCTGTTTCTTTGTTTTCTGAAATGAAATTAATCAATATTCTGTATGTGTAACTTTCCGAATTTTCATTGAGCGCTTTTGATGCTATTCAGGCATCTTTAAATGACGTAGACATATCTGAGAACGTCATCGCTCTTCAAGCACAAAGCTCTATCGAATTTGCTATTTGGAGTTCAATAATAATCATAAATACGTTGATCTGTAATGAAGTTAGCTGAAATTAGTCTATTGATTTCGATGCTAACTTACTAATAAGCTAATATCGATACCAACATTCTATGTTACAACATCCGAAGCCTATATAGCAATTACTTTATTTACTTCCATTTCTACATTCAATACTTATATTGGGCATTTTTTAAACGACAATTTTCACCACAAATATATGCTGTCTACAAGGATCTTAAACGTACAGCCTCTTGCATGTCGTCCATGTTTAAAGCATGCGACTCGCTCAACTTGTTGTGGAATAATCACTGAAATGCTTTGAAGTTTATGCCTGAAACCACCGCTAGACATAAGGTAGATTAGACTACTGGCCTAAAGTAGACAGCTGGACTTGTATTTATTCGCAGTGTTTAACGTGCAGGGTCCGATACGTCCTTAGAGGTCCTACGTGGAGACGTTACCACTAAATCCCATTCGTTCTCTGACCTTTTTCGCGTAACAGCCAATATCAGTATGCCATTCATCGACGCGTGTATCTGCTAAAAAGTTCCACAGTTGAGCGTTGAACTTACTACGATCAATACAACTAGTGATTCCATTCGTACGAACAGTGCGAGACGCATTGCACTTACTGATTTTGTCAGGCGCATTGTAGCAACTGTAGTCGCCTTTTTGTAAACGAATTTGACCAAACATGAGCTTGACTCTTTCCGTTTCCCTACCAAGAAATTGGTATGAACATCGACTCTCCCGTGGATAGTTGGACGGGTACTGCGGGGAGAAAAATCGGCCTTCTGTCCGGTTGATGGACTCCATCACAAAGTCGCAGGCTGTGTCCTCGATCAATGCTCCCTCCGTCTGCAAAGAAAACCCAAACAGATGCTAATTGATATATCCTTACATGGACAAATGTTACACACTACATGAGAAAAAAACTATCTCCATCAACCCCGTCCATTAACAAAAGTGTACTTTGCGCACACCAACAATCGCCCGTTTGTTATGAATCTTATCTGGAATAGCTTAGAATAGGAAGGTTGAAGCTAACGTCAACTCGTGCTTACGGATAATCAGGCCATTGTTGTAGTGGTTAAGGAGAATCATGTGTATTTGTTATGAAGTACGTCGTTGAAGATCTGTCAAAATTTTCTTACGTTGAAACCGGTAAAGTAACTAAAAACTTCATTATTTAAGAAACAAGGACTTACATAGCGATCTCGTAGGAGTGTTACCTTATTTATCACCAGTTATACAGACAATCGATTAGCCTTTTGTGTCTAATGTTATTTGAAAGCACTGACATGCGCTTATTCAGCAACACATATAATTGTATCCAGTTCAGTCACTACGCGTCGTTAAATTAGTAAACACAGGGAGCCTTAAATATAAACGTAGCTCGGTATCCGTTCGTAATTACAATGTAGTATTTCTATCTACATTGATTTTTTTCTACAGTTCGCATGGCTACATAGAGAACGGTGTGTATTATGCCAGATGATCTAGCGTACAGCGCATTGTTGTTAGGTCTACTTGACAACCTTTATAATTCGACAGCGAACGGAGGCCCAATCTTTCTACCGCAAGAAGATTGTTTCTTTCATTCCGACGTTCTGCCTATTCGATCCATATTTCCTTTTAAAGTTCGAATTTTGTCTGCTGTTTCCCTGTTTGCGAAGTCCAGCATAACGATATATAACGTATTCGAGTTTTTCCAGTCACATTCGCAGCGCCATAGAATCGGACAAGGGTCCATCCTGTAACTTATGGCGAAGTCGTAATGATACCACTCACCATGGGAAAAGCTTTGACTTCAAACAAGTTTATGCTTGCTGCATCTACATGTATGTAGCTTCCTTAGATATCTTAGTTTCGCAATGGCTAATGCCCTTTGATGTGCTTCGCGGATAGGAAAGCAGGCTAGAATAACACTTCCAACTACAATATTCTACATTTAGGCGTTCAGAATTGATGCGTTGGTCTGCTGTCCAGCAATACCGAATCTGTTTCGGTAGCGTTCATGGTCATCGCGTATTATCACCCATGGACTGATACTGCTTTCCTTCCACTATGCTAATGCTAAACAGAAATGATCCACCAGGTCGTAATGTGCAGGTTGTGCCTACTCTCATTTGGTGATTGTGCAGCCGTAAGGGTTTTATAAAAACTCGATATGGTCCATTGCTATGTCAGGCCCCGCCGTCCTGTCCCTGGACATCTTTTTGACAGTATTTGCATCCTTTCGGTTGCCAAAGGGCTCAAATAACCAGTCATGAGTGGCTTTTTGTTCTATTGGTATATCCTGCAATTACTCTGCTTGATTCGTTGGCAGTAGCCATTCAAAATAATGAGCCAATTTCTGAAATGAGACTCCATAAACAAGCCAGCTATTCCTATGTGGCAATGTAGCTGTCTGTGTTTGCCAACATCTACTTTCCGAACCGCAATCCGCCTCCATTTTGCTCATTTCGTCTTCTTGTTGCTTGTTAAAGTTTCGTCGTTGACAACAGTAAGCTGGTATCGTAGTTTCCGCAAACGGGTCTACTTCACTTGGCCACATCCTGCACCAAACCAAGCTTTCAGATTTCTCAGCATTCAGATAGCTATTCCAAAAGAAGTCAGTTTAAGTTACATCACCGCTCTTGTCGGTTTTACTCGTTACGCTTGCTGGCCCGTTAGATCAAGCAAATTGTAGTGATGCCTGATTATTGGCCTATTTAGAGACGGGTCTGGATATATACCTATTTATGTGATCTTCCAACTCGATCCTTAATTGTCAGGTGACGAGCTTCGGTGAAACACAGGTCAGGTCAGTGATAGTTGTACCACTTAGCGTTTTGCAAAAATATGCTACTAGTCGATAGTTCCCGTTAATTCCTAGTCCCCTACTTCGTGGTCGAGTCCGCAGTTGGCATATCTATACAGAACAGCCGGATGATCAGCTGCACTTCTAAGGACAGCACACATTTACGTCCACTGCGATCCGCGCTATAGGTAATTGGAGGTGCAAATATGTTATAACTAATGTGATGTTGTTTGCTTATGCCTACTAATGTGATGCTAGATTTACACGGAACGGGTAATTTTTGCACAGTGCGTTATACTGCAAAAATTCGTCGAACTAGCTGTAAATGAAGGATGTCAGTCCGATGCCGTTAATTATTTCTAAAGCCTACTCTATAGTATAACACCCACAAGTCTAGCCTCAATCGTACGTGCATGGTCCTATTTACGTAAAGATATATTCTTCTACAAACGACGCAGTAGAAATGTACGTTTGAAATCGCACTGCTGGAACATAAATAATCGATTTTCTGCTAATCACCATTTGTAGCAGTGAGCCAAACATCATTTGTCTTTCTTGTTGCGTATTTTCTATCCCCTAATCGACGCAGAGTAAACTTGGGCGTATTCATAATAGAATCCTCCCACCATAACTTAAAAACAAGAGCTAACATGGCAACGGATTCAATCATATACAAGTTGATAGCGTTAGACTCGCGTCACTGTTAGCTCCTAACAAAGTCCATTTTTCACCGTCGGCGCTTTACCTTTGTTAAACGACAAACCAACATACAGGGGCATGCGTGAAACAGGGGATTCTAGCAGAACGTAATCGATTGTACAGATTAATCCTGACTGGCGCCAGAAGAAATATGATTGTAAAAAAGCTAACAGGCACAGTTTCCAAACGTTCTAGGCTTCGCGCAATCGTAAAGTCAAAATGACGCCTCGTATTTTACCAGTTCCATTATGCAAAACCATTAACGAACCCCCGCTGGGCCATATAGATGAAGTAAGGGGCTCGCAAGAGGGGGTGTCGCTGACGGAGGGATGTCATTATGATGATCACGGATGATACCGCAGTGAGGGAATTCATAACATCCACATGCTGGGTTTCGTTTCCATTAAATCTAACGATCCCCGCGTTTAGAAATTAGGAAAGGAGCGCAGCCGCTTTTCGCGCTTTCTTCCACAATTTAAACGGTCCATTTAAGACAACATTTTATGCTAACACAATCCGTACTGTTCGTCAGTGTTATTTATTCCGACTACCTCCTCCAGCGTACGGCATACCTTTATGATTACTCAAAGCTTGCATGCGAACTGCATATATATATATATGCGCACGTACGATCTACACATGCGTCTTTATGACAACATAGTTCAACGGGAAAAATATCACACATTATACCATATATCATCATCTACTACTGAAAAATCAAAAGAAACGTCGGTATTATGGAGTAGCCCAGTTTTTACACTTCGCTGGTTCGAACACGCGAACAGTCCAACAATGAGAACAACTTTATTTAAGCAGTGCGTTCGTCTACGGATACCTGTAATAAACGCTTACAAAAGATCACTTGGAGGCACAGAACGAGGAATTATCACGAATCGAACGCCATATTCTTACACTGGCACTTCATAATCATGCTACTTCGTGGGACTGGATTAACAGATCGGATTTATGTCGGATTCGATTGAAGACTGTCCACGAATCATTATGACGTTTTTTTATAGTCTACTTGCGTGTATCCATAAGTGATACTCAAAAACATGTAGCTGAGGAGCACAATTTTGTTAGGATGTAGAGTTCAAGCGATGATACTACAGCGACAGTTGACGTTCTATGAATTGTCGCTATTATCTCCATATACTAAACATGTACGGAAGGATTAGCTCTAGCGGCTCACCGGTGTTCTAGACTAAGTGTCCATGGCAAAGTGTTTTTACAACTGGGCAGTAAAACGAGCGATCTGATCCCTATACTGTACATAATACACTGTATTTTATCTGGCGAAGCTTGAACTAATGAAGTGAGTGGGCAAAGTGCTTTACCCATTAATAAATAATAGAATTCATACATGTAGATTCGTTAAAAAGCATGCTACGCACTATCCGCACAAACGGACCAAAAGTTTTCTTTAAAAATAATAAAATCATACAGACTGTTCAAAATATCTCGAATTCGGTCAGCTGTAAGATGTAGGCATCCACCAAAGTACCATGTGAAGTTCTTAGAGGAGAAGCTGCGTCTCGTTGAACGTGCTTATATATACGTAGTCCCATATAGTTGTGCATTTCTATCAATGCTCGTTTAGTTCAATTTAATCGCCATGAAGTGATCAAAACGATAAGGCCTTGCGGGATCGAGTTTCTTTTTCTATAGTTTACCTACTACATAGCCCGTATGGCGGGTTATGTAGCTTCCGCCTGGCTCTCCGAACACCGTCGTTTTAATTAGCTTAATTCTCTTTAGGATATTTCTTATTGGGACATAGTTGAAACATGCAAGTGGGCTGTTCCACATTGTATAGATCGTGAACACTGAGACTATACGTTTCAGGTTCTTACTTATGGCTTCAAGCGCACTGTCTAATCAAGCTTCAGCTCAAACTAATCATTTGTAAGGCACATACCTAACGTCCTAGTCGATTAGGCCGCCCAAGGCTCTCCTAAATCTGATTTCAGCAAAAAACTCATTCAGCGCTGGTTTAGCTATTATACGTAATATGCATATTTAAACGACAAACAGTAGTCTACCATGCGATTTTCGTTACGATACCTATCAAAATCAATATCCTTTTTCTTTTCTTTTTCATATTGAACTTTGCAATCGAGCGCTATCTTGCGAAGCATTAATCTGATAATGGCTATGCTTGACTTTGTGCAAAGGCTAAACCTATCTACAGCTTTTACACTAGAAGTGGACCATGAACGACAATATGCTTAGCTTTTTACTCAACGCCTTAGAATTTAAGTAGAGCAGACGAAACAGAAGGGCTGGAACTTGGAAGACCTTCGAAAGACTATCGTCATAATCCCGAACATCGGCCGTGATTTCGCTGTCGCTGTTCGACAATTTTAAATTGAGAAATAATCATATAGTAATATGGTCAAACACGAAGTGCAAATTTTGCTCTAACTTGTTGAAAATAAAGCACGCGGGCAACTTATTAGATAAACGCATTCTCATATATGAAATTTCCTTGGTTATTGGGTCAAAATGAGATATCAAGGATTCAGCTTTTGAGACAGCTCATTTTCTCAAGTCGTAACAGTCATCGTCGATATAATAGCTATCAGAGTAAATTTACATACATGGTTGCTATTTGTTTCCGTTTGCTAAAACGATTTTTGAGTTTACTGGTAGACACTGCTCTAATAATTTTTCTTAAGCCTCGGTCATCTTTGTAAGGTGGTTTCACTTTCAGGTGTTACTTGAGCCTTTAGAAATGGAATGGGTCAGATGAACCTAGATTTGGTAAATACGCGATTGAGGCTATATAGACATCGGCTTCTTTTCGCAAAAAAAACGTCATACAGATCGCGACAAGGAAAGAATTAGATTCTGGGCCTATTATGGTGGTCAGCATTAGCCAATCTTCTTAAAATTTTTTTGGCAATCTTCCTTAATAGAAAGAAAACCGTTCCACATAAAGCCATAAATACACAACTGCCCGATGAATGAAAGAGGTCGTAAAAAGATGCTTGATTTTGACCCAGACATTGTGGCTTTTCTCCATCTAGGCTGGCCTCTGGAACTATACATACATTACGGTACTTTGTCTCCATGGTATTGCCATACACTTACTTATACTTCTTCGCAGTGATGCGTCGGAGTGGATCCGACTCTTTTTTCGGTACACTATAGTTTCCCCGAGACAGCTATGAATGACCCGGCATTTGATCGAAATGATTCTGGTTTTCGGTATAGTTCTCACTGTGCTTTTGTCCCCAAATAAGCTTTTACAGTGCTCCTGCATGATTCGTGTGTAATGCTTTAGCCCTTCTGTAAGCCTCTCAGAATGGTCTGGAAACCCCTGCATTTTGCTTTTTTTCTTTTGTTTGATAGTTACTGTAACTAACCGTCAACAAAGAGAATTGTCTCTAAGGGACTCTTGTCAGCTTTAAGGCTTTTGGTGCCACTCTGGACTAGCACTTCATTTTCGCTTTGTAACAATGTTAGTCACCTTAAAACGCTTGCGAAACACGAGGCAAACGTTCAGATGGTCTGAAATTTCGCCTGTCGACTGACCTACCATCTGTCTACTGATCAGCCATTACTAAAATATTGTGTATCATTTCGGCACATTTTTTAAAGTGCGCTCCGTTTGTCGACGCGCGTTTGACACGAGCAGGTACGTGCAAACGTCCATATTGTTTGTAAATAGTCGTGCACTCAACATTATCACCGCTATTGTTTGTTAGCGCTTCATTGAGCGAACTAACCATGCTTTAGACCGATGTATCCTGCCCACGCCATAACTGGCATTAAATGCTCTAAATAACGTAATCAATGGAATATATTCAAATTTGTCGGAAATGAATTTATAGTAAACTGAACATAACTAACCGGCTTTTGTGAAAGATAGACTTGCGCCCGGATGTACGATATATTTCGGATACCTTCAGCATAAACAGTGAGTCGAAATACAGCTTCTGGGGCATCTTGCTACCAGCAAGTCGCGTTCGCTTCAAAATAGCATTTCAGGATAGTTTCGACATGCCGTACGGCACGTTAGCCCAGTTTCTCCTTTTGTTGTCAACTGCTACAACGTTGCGTTCAGGTTGTTCCGCTAATTTCTCCCGATAGACTTTGTCGCTTGCTATCGTCACTATCAATGCTATCCCCATCATCGCGGCTATCGTAACTATTATAACTAATATTTCTACGTATCCTAAAGATATCTAGTTATCTTTACGACAGTTGGCTTCGCCGTTGCCGAAAGATATAGACGGCCTTTGTAGTTCTCGTTCCTTTGGCGACTTTTAGCATTCTACCAAAATGCTTCCCCCTAAATCTTTGCTCGAGCTTCACGCCTTCTTCCTGTTCCTGAGTCGTCCCATAGTTAACAAAGTAACAGAACGCAGGAAGAATTGCTAGCTTATGTGGAACGGCATTACACTTGTACGCCCATGCAAGCGTATACGTAGCATTCTGGTTTTTTGGCCGGTTGTAAAGCGAGGGGGCGCCAAATATCTCTGATGTTTCCCTATCAGCGTTTACTTAGACTGCGCCTGTCTCCGCTCATTGCGCAGTAGCGTCCCTGACATGTCGTCTTCGTAACCGCTGCTACAGAGATAACACAACGCGAGAGCCTCATCCACTTACAGACAAATCTGATTATGGATGTACTATAATCGCGACCGATGATAATGCTGTCGGTAGTAGTAGCGGTAGACTGGCTCTTGCTGCTGCTACGATAGGGCGTAAGGCCGCTAAATACTCGCACAGGTCTGATGTCGCCACAAGATGGCTGTGTACACGTTATGTACGTATGCAGCTGGGGCAACTAATCATGTAGAATTTACTGACTTTGCAGGTAAAGCCAGTATAGGCTAGTGCTGTATATTGAATTAGCAAGTCCGCGCAATCACGTACTGCGTCATGAGGCAGAACAACGACTACCTATTTGTTTTCCAGTTGATAATTCACTACCGTTTGCGGTTGCGTGGCCATAGCCTTGTGCATAGAAGATGGTCAACGAATGCACACGTGTTGTTGATAATAAACGGATCAAATATATTTAAACGATAATGCCGTTTTACACCGCAAACAAAGTAGTACTTCTGTACTTGGCGTATTCAGTGATATGCCCCCCCGAACGTTGTACTGCGGCAAAGGATTTATGCGGTTCGAGTACTTTAATCAAATACCAAAGTAAATATTAATTTCATTGGCACCCTTTTCTTTTCCGCGTTTATGCCTACAAAAATACAAGAACCCGAGAAGCGGGTAGTAAAGTGTCCGTTTTCCTAGCACGAGTGTAGCAATACATTGATTAGAGCGTTAGACTTAGACAAAGCAAAGCCAAATTATAAAAATATTTATATATACACATATGTATGTGTATAAGCGTTCTTACATCACAAGAGCCTGAATAAAGTCCGCATTACCTTTGTTAAACTTACCTAATTATGTCTTAAAGCTGTTTTCAAATTTCCTTTACGAATATAATATATAATAATATATACGGTGACTTCTAGTCATACCATGAACTGATCCTTATTAAGAAATTGAAAGGTGCCTCGGAAGCCGGTGCTGTTGCTGCGTCGAAAGTCCGAATGAAATTCGAATATGAGCGCGCGGCCCGATGAATAATGCGTTTGCTCGATGTCACCTGCAACGATAAAGGCAGAAATTTTTCGGTGTTATTATAAACATTTATAGTGCTTTAATATAGGCCCCTTTCGGCGGAAGCAGAACTTGCCTTGTCGCTACTGCTAACGCCCGGTGCCGGGCGTAATATTTATAGCTGGTACTGTACGAACTATAAGCTATTGTGGGCCAAGGAGATCGGACGTCGATCGGATATATTGGATAGCTAATCAGTCTCAAAAGTTACTCCTTCTAGCGACGAAATACTAGCAGCCAAAAATGTATTTGACAGAAAGAGGAGTATTAGTAAATATTGATTTGAGAAAATGGACGAAAGCCTAATATTTGAAGGATGAGGTGCTTATGGCAAACGGTAGGTTCGTTGATTCCAAGCATAGCTCGTATGCGGACCCTCGTATGGATTTAGCCTACAAACGTGAGCTTTTTTTAGGCATCCGTATCTAAAACTAATCCTAGCCGCTAATAACTAGGTTTCAAAGACATTTCTGTCGCCAGAACGGCGATCTCTCATGAAAAAATAAGCTCTCTTGTCGAGCTCTACTCATGCAATATGTCCATATCTGCCCTACAAATGGGTAGCAATATCAAAGGAAATTCGTTTTTATGACGGAGGTTTTTGTTTCTTTCTAGATAAAGAAGACTTCTAATGTTATAATTCACTTATGCATGAAACACATTGCCCTTTTCAAAAATGATCTGTCAAATCCCCGCGATGCGGCATTGAGAAATATGCATTTTCGCCCTTAATATCATGATGAATCTGAAAGGAAGGGCAGATCATACGACAATGCCTATTGCTGCCACTGACATTTAATTGCAAAAGGTAACAAGATGCACGTTTCCACTCAGTAAACAGCAGTGATGCAAAGAAGCGCTACAATCTTCGTTTAGAACAAATCGCATCCTTTTACTCATCTAACTTTTGTAACTAGCTATCGTCCATCGGCCCGCCCGATCGCTCTTTTGCTACCCACCGAAATCGAATAGTAATGAAGTTACCTGCCTGTCGATTCGATGATTACCCAAACTATGAACGAACCGGCGACGAGAAAAACGTCGCCTACTGTGAGCACTTAATGACTTGCCCAGACTGCCCAGCTCAACCGAAGTCTGTCGTGACTGCCGGCGAGCTTTTTACTGAACCGGACGGACGGAGAGGGCAGGCAAAGCAAGGGCAAGGCCATGGCGAAGGCAAGTTTATGTACAAATGCGTTTCATCAATGGGTCCGTCGCAACTCGATAGGACTTGGAAACGTTGAAAGCCAAGCATGAATGAGAAAAAGGCGATTAACGTTGTAAAGATGCGTCGGAAACAATCGAACGGGAGAGGGTCAGGAAAGGTGGAGGGAGATCGCAGACGTTCAAAGCAGGCTAAAGGGGCATTGAGCATCAAATCTACGTGTTCCAAAATGCATAACTAATATAGCGGGCTCACTGCTCCGTTCTCGGTAGGGAGGTGTACTACCATCATGTACTAGGAGGACCAGGGGATGACAAAGTTGGAAAACGACTTATTTAGCATTTCTTGTACTTCTGTCTTCGCTGTACGTTCCAACTCCCGAGACATACAACCGAACGAAATTTTGAATTCGGTCGCAAGTTCGTCGAACCGACAAGATGATTATTCCGTTATACATATATGTACATGCAAGCGAAAATGAGAGCAGATTTTACCATTGTTTTTTAATAGCTTGAACTAACCAACTCATGTTAATGACCTAAACATTTATTGATAAATGTTTGCTATGTAAGGTGGTGTATTGATTAGTTTATTGAAGTTTATTTAGTTAGAAGACAGAAGCTAACGAGCTGGGATTTAGGCGCATACGTAGGTGCGTCCGTTGTTTCCTAATTTGACTCCCTTGTAACTCTTCTATACAGGTAAATTAAGAAAGGGTACAAGGATTCATGTGGTCAGTTTATATTCTAAGCTGCGTCTGGCATTGACCAGTAACGACGATCTCCGGAGATGTCTGTCTACTTTACATAAGTCCGTAAAAAATCATGCTAGGGTAATGTTTAGGCATTTTCAGATCTTAACACAGGACATTTGATCTTTATCTTGTCGTTTAGGTCACGATCATTTTTCTCGTTAACTAATCATATCAAGTGATTTGGGCAGGTTTCTTTCATAAAACTTCACAGGGTCCATTGCTTCTAATTAAGTAAATCTAACTAGCACCATTAGTAGCAATAACAAGGCGCTGCGATAAACTGCTTTCGGTACACCCATACGGCAGCCGCAGCTACATATATGGGTCGCATTATCATCTGTTAAGCTAGCTCGTGTCGGATATGGTATGACGGTTTTAGACATGAGAAGCCGGAAGCGGAAATTGGATGGAAATAACCAGGTTCTCACATAGGTTCTGTGCTTGCTCTCTCACCGTTGTCTATTCGCTTTCATCACCTGCACGACAATACCCATATGGTTACTAGCGAATGGCCCGCTTACTGCTTATGACACATCCTAACTAATCCTTACGGTTTCGTCCGTTAGAAACTAAACTTTCCTATAGCTCATAGGGTCTAAGAACGTTCAAACGCATCAGGGTCTTTCCGCTAAATTCCAGCCATTGCCTGCGACGGTAGCCAAGCAGGCACACATTTTTCTGCTCTATCCTCGCTTCTGCTATCCTATAAAAGCATCCTCTCCTCCTCTTGCCCCTAGCTTTCCGGCCCCTATCTCCTCGATTCGAAAGGCTATAACGTACGGCAGGTAGTCAGCCGTCCGTACGGCTGGCACCGACGGTGAACGTTCGCGTACCTGGCTTCACAAGATGTTATCACGACATGTCGACTGAGTGCGAGATATGAGCTGTGCTGTCGGCTGTGATAGCATAGAGAGCGTGAGGGAAAGCATGAAAGAACAGAGATCGGGGGGATGCAGATGACCTAAAGTCGCTACTTACTGAGTTTCCCACAGAGAACCGAGTTGAATGGTGTGACCTCGTTAACGGCCGCCTCATCGCCGAGATGCAGAAAGAGCTTGACGTAATCTCCAAAGATGCAGTCCATGTTCGTTTTCTGTAGGTCAAACTCCTCAAAGTATACGCGCACAATCTGTTGTTCGCTTCCGACAAAACGGTAGAGTACGCACTCGATGTTCTCGTCGTATGGAGTCGGCCAGTCGGGTGACGTGAACACGCCATGCTCTTTGCCGAAAGTTGAGTCGAAAGTCACGCACTCGCACTCTGCAACGAATTATGTTGACAATAATGACCAAGCATGGGTTATAGGCGAAAAATGGATGAACCGATTAGCGATACATCAGGTACAGGAATAATGGCCATAGAAGCCGCCCTATAATATGTGAAGTTTCGAGTCCCCATTTATCCTTCATTACGTGAAACGGAAGCCTTTACTCTGCATCAGCGGGCTGCCGTGCTTTGCCAAACTACAGCTTAGGTGTACTATTTGCAAACAGATCGGTAGTTCTTTTCAAGGTAAAAGAAAAAAAGGAAGACAATGTGACGCAAGTAAGTCCATGTGAGCTGATTATATCACGATATGAATATCTCGAGCCTCTACACCTGGTACTGTTGTTAAGCACTGCTTCGGAAAGCACGAAATGAGCGTGTTTGCGACTGCTCTTGAATATAACTACCACATGCCCCTACCTTAGGTATATATATATATATATATATATATAATACAGATGTAAAATAAAGACTCTCAAGCTACCCAAAGGCTTTTACCCCATTATATATACTTTAATTCTACATTTATTTTCTTATTGAAACTCTAATGCTTAACAGGTTTAATAAATTATACCAGCAAAAGGTCTTACTGATGGCGTCTGCAGGCGCCAATAAATCCTATTCGACACAATAACTCTATGGTCAATCGGTTAAATCAATGTGTGAAGAACCGATAATTTTGTCGGTACAACTACATAGTTTTATAGACTTGATGTCTGCCTCGATTAGGAGCGGACGGGTGGTCTTTGCCAGCACAGAAGCTGACAAAGGTAAAATTAGCTCAATCAAAAATGGAAACAAGCCTGTCATGTTAGGACTCTATGTTCTCCATTAGTAATAGAATCTCGCCGGCCGGCGACGGTCGCGTCCTGGAGACCCCAACCCATAAACCCTCAAAGTGCTTCACCCCTTTTACGGACCTGAAATCTTCCCTGATCAGCTCTGAAAAGCTTGCTGCCTTGTCATATTACACTTTTAACCACCAGTTTCCGCCATCAGAAGAAAGGAGGGGGTCGAGCTTCTGGATAACACTTTGGCATTAAAATGCGATTTGCATGAATAGAATATGCAACGAAAACTGAAGTAACAAAGATCAAAGGGATAGTAAGATGAAAAATAATGCTACCTGCGTTAGCTTTGTTTCAACTATAATATCATTATAATTTATTGTACTATAGAGTAGTCAGTCAAGCACACACGATGCTGTAAACATGTACCTATTAACCACGGTTTAAGTTTGTATTGACAACATAACGGCTAACTTCTACTTAATAATATTAGCGTTTACTGGATATTCAAATCACAAAATCTGTACATAAAGTTCTCTTTGTATTTATTACATTAACGGATAGTATTTATTCTCAACTAAAAAAAAGTGAGTTAATAAATTAAGGACTGGTATTCATCATTCATAAAGTCCATATTGACCCGCTTTGTTTACGACGGTTTGGGCTGCGGTAGGTAGGTAGGTAGGTAGGTAAACCAAAACTCACTAGAATAGGAATGAACTAAACTATGAGATCAGTGTCGATTTGGGTTCTAAATGTTCTGGAGATGCTGCACGTTTACTAATTCTATTTTGTGCAAATTACTAGCGATATATAATTCCTGTCTAGCGCAACGCGTCAATCTCCCTAGTCGTTTAGGATGTGTCATGATGAACTTGTCTCTGAAACGTAGTAGCATGGATTTCGGAAGGACAAGCATGAACTTCTAACCAGCGGGTTCAGAAGGGGTGTTCCAGTGATATAAACATAAAACTGCAGGATTCAGGCTTGTGGAGGCTTCTGTGTTTCACTACATTGTGATTTTATTACTATAGCATACTTAAACAATGAACGGTCCACAGCTGACCCACTATAATAGTCCATATACTAAAAAGTAGTCCACATATTAAGTTCTTCGATTCGAAAGAAACCCGATGGAACATGTTCATGTGCAGGCAAAAATAGACAGAGCATCACCCTTCTACGACTCTTTTGACAATGTAGATTAATTTTTCAGGTTGGTAAGAAAGATGCAGGCCACAACGGTAGGCAGGTCTTAAAATCACAGCCGCAGAAATCCTTGACTGCTGGCATTTAACGTTTCAAAGTCACAGAATACGAATATGGAAAAGTAGTGAAATATACTACTTGTATAATTTATATAATTCACGTCAAAAAGGTCTCCGCGCTTTTTGCGTTGCAAAGCATTTTATTATTCTTATTAGTATCATTATGACACGAGGTGTTCAGGCCATTTTTATCAAGTATGATGAAAATGGCATATGTTTTCTTCTGCTTAGATATCACCTGCCAATTAGAGACGTCAACCGAACGAGAATTATTCCTTTCCGAATATAGCATCTGTCATAAATTTTAAACGACGCTCGGATTCTAACTCTACGTTGCAATGAATGCAACGGCAGCAGAGGCTGCGGAACGGATAATTTCCTGGGGTTATTAACTATAACAGGTAAATAACGTGTTATAGGAAGAGTGAGAAAGTTTCACTTTAGTGCATTTCTACGAAAATTGTTATTTTGCCTTCGGACACCACTTTGTCTGACTGCAGAAAAAACATTGGAAATGAAAACCTCTTCGGCGATGCTCGTAAAACAGCATTGGCAGCAAACATAAAATTCACATTATAGGTAAATATTATTAGTTATAGATCACATCTATTTTAATTAACCTAGTCCGGGATAATTCATGAGATACACCTTTTTTTTTTACAAGTGTCGTCGGTTACTATGATCCATATAACTAATCGAATCGTTGGATTCCGTCTGTTTACAGGCATGCATAGTCACAAAGCGGGCACGTGCATTGATATAGAGATATAGATATATCAAAATAAATTGTTTTTCCTCCCTGTAGCTCATGTGCAAGTCAATTACTCAATGATTATTCCAGACATTTGAACATTCCAAACGCTAGCCAAAACGTCAATTGGGCTGCTGGTGCAAGATAACACGGAAAAAACCCGCCACAGTTCTATGCGACGTTAAGCGAAGGGCGGTAGGCATCCAGTTGATCGTTTGGGGTCCTTAAAAGAAGTCTAAGAAGACGAATCCGTCCCCAGCCCATCTAAACGAGAGAGGATTTGAGCCCGTTGGAGTGGAACGGGCGGCTCTGATCCCTAACCCACCCTGAAGGCCTGCCCAGGAGCCCTTAGGCCACTAAAGCAGCTACGGCTGCTGCGGTAGTGGTGCAGCCTACCCGCTGCACCATCTCCCCTTCCTGACAGCCCCCAGGTCCACGCCCTGCCAGACTAGGATCAAGGAAATAATATATATCGACCACTCGCATAGATTCCTGAATAGACAAGTTCGACAAGGATTGACTGGCCGTAGTGGTGATAATGCTGCTGTTGTTGATGATTATGTCGATGCTCGCCTTTCTGCATTACCAGCACCTGTCTACCAAGAAAGAGGCTACCCACATTTGTCTACATTTCTGCTGTTCCTATGAGGATACCACTCATATATATGGAATTAGAAAAGCCCTTTGCTGTTGATGGAGTGAGATAATTTCGCGTAATAGCAACATCATGTTACCAATACGAATAAACGCATGCACAGCAGTTACTAAAAGATAACACGTTTAAGGATTTTAACATAACACGTAAGTTTAGAAATTACGACTCCTATGTATTTCGCTTCTGCGCAGAGAAAGGTGGGGTGATATTGATATCTGTCATACCATATGAAACTGGAACGATGTATAAACGTGCAACTGGTTCTTCGAGTATTTTTCAGCCTCCTGCTAATACTGCCTTGCCTTGAGCCGTCTCTCAAGATCCGATCGTAACGTATATCCCTTCAGTCAGCAAATGCACTGAACAGTTATGGTTTGCTGTTTTGTCTAGCTTCATGTACAGAATGGACCTTCCATCCCTTTTTGCGGGAGACGCAACATGGCGTACTAGAGAATACTATTTCGAGACAAGTCAACACCACCGGTGAGTATTTACATGTTGCTGATGTTGGCAGCCTATAACACTTACACGGTTCAACCTGGATAAGAAGATTACCGCGCAGACCGAACGGCAAGATTTAGGAAAAAGGTTTTAGATTGAAGAGGCCAATGTGTGCAAAGGATCGAGCCGTCAAACCACCTTAGGGAATACGGCCAGCTAGGCAGCCGGGTTGCCATTCAGCAAGCTCACTTTTGCTCACCGGGACGTCACGAGCTTCTCGTTCAATATAGAAAGCTAGGTTGTGGTAATATGCCAACACAAGACTATAGACTTAAGTAAAGGCCAACAGACAACGGATATGCGTCGATACTAGCAAACAATAGAACCTAATACAGGTCAATTGAGACAACACGTACTTTCTACTGTGTCATTAGTTAGTTAGATAGTTCGATTGAGAGAGAACATAAAACTGTACGAAAGAGTTGATTTGTTTAGTGGTGATTGACAAAAAAACACCAAGGAATAGCGAGCGAAATTCGCCTTCGATATGCTATGCTCGTTCGATCTTCATAGACATATGCGACGACACAAGGTCTAGTAATATGGAAAGACAGTATGGTTATATTTGGATGGAAAATTTAGATGTCGTAGAGGGTACGAAGTACCCTCTACGACATCTAAATTTTGCTCAGCCATTTCGTATAATTCACTGCGTTAACGGCGTTTTCTTGCCTTTCGGGTGCAGAGCGCAAATACGTATGAGCTAAACATTGACTCAGATCCATCGATACGTTTAGTTTGTATATTATGGCGAGCAACACTTGTGGTCATGTTCGCACCTTGCACCGAGGGTTATCATATCAATAATGCCTTGAAATAAATCCATTGGTTTCGTACGAATCTGTACCGTACTCTTTTTTTTAATTATGAAGCCTTTTTATGCGTTATATTGAGCTTACCGAAGGCACGTATGTGTTCAAATGGGCTACTCGCGTCTGATCAACTCCATGTTTTGGAGTATTTCGTCGATCGATCCGACTGATCAAAGCATGTTTTTTTCATTGCAAAGTTTCCTACCGCTGGAATTATTGTCTAAGAGCAAAGCATGCTTTTACGAGGCTCGTCCTTCAGTTGTCGCATAAAGAACCTTTTTGCGGTTCGAATAATGTTCACTTGTTTCTCCTAATTTCAGATGCGCTTCGTTCTATTTCATCCTATCAATTGAGTTTAGCTTAAAAGAAAGGTTTTTTTATATATATAAATTATAGTCCCAAATTACTCGCCACCAAAAACATGAACGTTACACCACGAAAAATTGTACTTCTATTCAAACTTTTGCTACAGAAAATTCCTTACATAGAGACATCAGAATTTCCGAATGTTCGGAAAGTCGTGCGGGTCCATTAGAGAATTCACGACATTTTGGATCTGCAACCATTAATTAAGCAATTGCAGCAATCGTTAATTCTTTCTATGTTATATTCCGTACTCTGCAAAACACTTTAGAACCCTGCAAACTTTTACCCCGAACAGATATTTCTTAGATGCATATTTATAGATGACTGTTCTTAAGTTTTCTGGGTTTCCAATAATGTTGTGCAATTTTCGAGCATGCTATAGGGGAAGATAAATTGAAGGTGAGAGTAGATGCCGCATAATTTAATCTTTAACAAAATAAAACTATTTAATACGCTGCATGGCACAAATTTATATGGGCAAAAAAACTTTTCTGTGATAAATTCCTAACTTTTATTACATATATTCCTGCTTCGCCGTATCAACGGATGCTTCTGTCAAGCGAATCGGACTCGAAGAACCCTCGAAGAAACTATTGCAGAAGGTGATACGATTCAAGTTAAGCAAATGACAACATTCAGTTCAAAGTTTAGGTGAGCTTTTACCTACAGTCGTAACTATATAATCTTACTAAATAAATTGTTACTTTAATCAGAATTGTTTTAGTGTGGTATATTCACCTTCACTTTTAAGTTCCCTGCATCGTTCGTTAAACGTCGTAAGACTATTTGTTTAAATTGAAGAAAATTTTTGTTTGACTATGTCGTCAATCGTCTAATATTAACATTTCTCAGTGTTTGTGTTTTATCAGCTTGTACGATTCTTTTTAAATCTTCAAAGATGACCATAATTACGGATCAACCTCACGATCCGATCGTTAGGACCTGATCGTAATGCGAGTTGACGACTGGCAAGGATCGAACTTCATGTTAGAGAAATTGGCAACTAGTACCCTCAAGCAATGTTACTGAATAGTTTCACTTCTCTTCAGAAGACTATACGACTTGACGGTTAAGACTACCGACGAAGCTCCATGCTCATTACTATTGTTCAAAGTGTTTATTTTTCAAGAGCTACGCTATAAGCGAAATCTATTAGGACAAAGACAATAAATATTAAGTAGGCCTTCGAGGGCTGCTAGGCATATTTATTGCCTAACTGCTATAAGTCATACGATGACTTCATTTTTGTTGCACAAGGATTTCGTGAGATGCGAATAAACTTACCATAATCATTGTCATGTTTGTTCAACCAACGTTCATTTTTTTATTATTATTATTATTATTAGGTTTACGATTTTCTTCCTTATGTTTGCTTTGACAGAAGCTCGAATTCTATCTTTATTTGCCGAATCAGCATTTACAAATTTGTTTTCTTACACTTTTTTTTTATGTAAGCTTTGCTTGTTTTTCTATACGCGTTTATTTATTTCACGTGCCCAAATTGTTCCAGCAGAGTGGCTAGACTGAGCTGATCTTTAATGGTTACTAGACTTTTATCGTAGGAATAAGTATTCGATGGAGCCTATTATATAAATATATTTTAGCGGGGCGAGTTTCCTTTTTACACAGAGTGTAATTTGGGCAAATATGTCGTGTTTTTTCTTTGTAATATTCTCGAAAATAATTGAGAACCTATAAAGAGTCTATGTTGAAAATATTTGCCTTTGTCGGGCTCCGTAAAATAGGCACACCTCCCTATGAATTTAAAAGGATATTTTTCACTTTTCTCCGATGTAGCATATAAAAAAATTACGTTCTTAAAAGAAGGTGATACTGTGCAATGGTTTATTAAATATTGCAACCGGCTAACTAAATAATGGAATCGTTGAAATCATACGTGCGGGGGTTGGTAATCCACTGACCGAGTCAGGAAATTACTGCAACGGGGTCACGGACTTCGACCCCAATAGAATTGTAACGTTTTTACTTTTGGCAATGCGAATCCAAAAAAAAACAAGCAAAAAAAAAGGTAAGGGGTCAGATGAAGAAGAGCAATGTTAACGGCATAACTGTTGGCGCGTACTCTAGTTATAGTTTACGTTAAAATAGGCCCAATATCAAGAAATCGAATTACCTAAACCAGCGTGGAAGGAGGCTTACAGGGCCCTCGAGTATATCCTTGGGGTTTCCTACGTCAGCAGTTTCGCAGCAAATGTATTGACGGAACTGAGATGCGCATACATCTGCTCAAAACGGTCTAATTTTTATTTCAATATGTTCCTTGGCAATGCGTGTCGCTTTCCCTTCACTTTCAGTCCTTAGTAGAATCGAATCGGTAAAATGTGCCCTTAGTTTAGCGACCACTAAAATATACGAACGGGTCAACGACATCTTATAAACACAAAGTCATGGTAGTCATAATGTATTTCCAGCATCAGACATATAAATAAAACATATTTAGGAACTATCAGCACTTACCGACTCCAATAGCATCAGCAACTGGCAAAAGACACCCTATGAGAAGTCCAAGAACGTGTGTTGAAATCTGCAAACAGAGTTCGGACCAATTAAAAGAAAGACTAATTTACGTTTAGAAATGATGGGCCCTGTTACCTAGTGATGACCAGAAAAGCGACGTGACAGTCTAGACATGATGTCTTTTTTTCTTTTCTTCTGAACGTTCTATGAATTGTGCGGAAGTACAATGTTGCAAAACGTATTTACTTCTGTCCTGATCTGTTCGTGTTTGTAAAAGTAATCCTTGTGTCGCTAACACTCTTGATTACCAATTATGTCCTCTGGCCGTCAGCCCCCAGAACACACTTTATTTATTTTTAAACAGACTTTTATTTAAACAAAGTCGATACCCTTATTTTTTGGCAATCAGCGACATCGATAGTGATATCGGTGCGTAGGAGAAACGTTGGGTCGCTTACGGAAAATTGCGCCGGATACCTCTTAATTACCCCAGATACCTCCTAAGAAAATCAGTTCAATAGCAAACTGAGACAATTATTACATTTGCTATGATGATTCGAAATTAAATAATAGTCTTATTTCGACGTTTTCCAACTTAGTCATCTTTCAGGTACGATATCATAGCGATAGAATCTAAGCGCTTCACCAAGCGAGCTGCTTCATGCGACCTTCTGTTTGGTAGTATTAGAATTAGGAGTCACCTTTCAAACGATTTAAGTTGCTACTTTTCGATTTAAAAAGTGACATCGGCTATAACTTGTGCAGTATAAAAGAGCTATTACGACGTAATAACAACCCTATTTCACACGCTTAGGCCTAATTTGTGTACATTCGCTTAGGAAATCTAGCTATTGTCTATCTAGATACAAGTTCTTTGATAATGTGGCCACACTTAAAGAGTACGTCCTTAACTTCCCGACCTTCAGACCAAGCCGCAATCTTGGGTTCTATCCATCGTAAAAAAAACCCGGTGGTAAATCTTTTTCTCTATCCTTGGCCATTATTTCTGTTTCCAACGTTTACGCAAAGTCTCTTAGATTGTTCATTTGATAAGCTTGTTTCTATGGTGTTGTTCAAGTTATACATCTTTGTTGTCGAACCTTGAAGCAATATTATTTTAAGTATAAACTTATTATATATTATATAGAACCGAGCTTATTAAACGATAGCGAAAACTGATTGAAGAACCTACATGGAACCTACTAAAAGGAAACGTTTACCATTTATATTTTTTAATCGTTTATATTCTAACTTTTATCAGTCTTTTTTTATCTTCGAAAAATCCTCGATCGCATTTTGCAGTCTATTTTTCTCAATTTTTTTCTATTTGGTTATTAGTTTATTATACAAATGCTCCCATTGGGATAAAATCCAAATAAAACAGTGGCTGACAGAGTGAAGAAGAGGGGTCGCCGATAATCTATAACATGGATCCAAGAACAGACAACAAATAGCGGACGAAAGGTAGTAAATAAAAACAATAAATATTTTTCGTTTACATAACGTTGTTCAATTCTAACCGGCAGTTATCGTCATCAACAGTGGATAGTATAATCTTATGCCTTAAAAAAATGTACGTTTCTAAACATTTATAATTATCAACTATTATCGTATACATTTGACAAAGATATTTTCGAACGTAGAAGAGGATTGCGAACTATCTAGAACTGGTAGTGCACGTACATACATAATTTTATATAGAAGAAATTGCTCTCGGAAAATGAATGACGCCGTTTATGTGGGCAAGTAACTTTAATACTGTGAACTTGTACGCAACGTTCAATGTTCGGTGCAAGATTTACTTTTTGGCCTAACTAAAGTTTCAATCATATCTTTTAGCCTTCATTCAATAACTCACAGACCTAACAGGAACAGGCCCAACAAAAAAAAGGGGATGTTGTTGTAGAAATGAAGATATTCAAATAACTAATGGACGGGCATATTTAATTAGCGATGTATACAATAATTAAATATTTCCTCTTTAAACTCAGCGACGATCAACTTTCGTATTCCATTCGGTGATAGATAGAAATCGTCAAGCGCATGTATAAACAGGTCGGCCGATGATATTACGTACAGCAGTCGCGATAGTAATAGAGTAGGTAACGTTTTTGCCAGCTAATTTTACGTCTAGGTCTACGTTCAAACCCTGGTATAGACAGACTTTCGCGTAATAAGATGAAATGCCTAATGGCGATACTGGATCTGACAGTCGAAGGATTAGGCAAAATAGGACATCGAAATAGTTCTCCTTATTCGAAGTTGGATCTGCTATACTTTGAATTCTATATTTCTGTATAGAGCCTTTTTTGCCATGCGTTTTATTATATCGAGAAACTAAATGACCAACGAAGTATAACTCTTATCTGGATGTGGTTCGGATCAAACCACACTGATGGAACCAGTTGTGCCAAAGATTAACGAGCTGTTGTAGGCAACATGGCGTCATACAGCAGTGGTCGCCATGAGGATGGTGTCGTTAGAAATTAACCCGAAATACAGCGAAGAATTATGCCCACCAGAAGCAATGAACAACAGCAATGGGGAGTATCGGTATTATTTAATTCAGTCACTACCATTCCATTTATGGATCACTGATTGTTTCGTTTGCTAGCGGAAGTTTCGCGGTACCTCGTTTGTTAACCTGGGAACGGAGAGTGCTGTAAGGTGCGCGCGAAGCTTCAAAATGGAAATAGCTTTGTTACGAATGTGGATCGTTATCATCGTCGTACTAGTAGCGGTACTATACGATAGATGATAATGTCTCAGTTTTAATTATTACGAAAGAGGAGGCACGAACTTTAACAATGCAGCGAAAGCAACAGAATTTCAGAAGCGAAAGCTTTTTTCGCTTCAGTCGGTTTTCGAGGCGGTCGACGAGGACAAAGAGGACGTCATCCTACCGTTTCGAAGTGTGGCAACACCTGCTCTTCTTTGCTCTACCCTTGTATTGTTCCCGATTCTTTGCTTCAGCTGAAATGTATGTATGCTGGCGACGAAGAACCATAGCCGTCCTGCCACTCTAAAAGAAAATGTGGGCTCATCTCAATAGTAGTGGTGGTGAAGTCGCTCTCAGAGCCCAGTTGTCGGTCTCGGTTCCGCCAAATGGGACCGGGTTGCCCACAGTTGGGTTCCTAAAGTCTCTTACACTTTGTTGCCACCTTAGCAGGATATAATAGCAAGCCCTGGGATTTGCTCTACGCCAGGCTGAATATATCTGCTGACGCCGACAGAGTAAATCACATACCAGAAGCAGTACCGGCAGTAGCGGCGGTAGACCACACAACTTAGTCGTCGTCCCGCCTATGATCTGCTATTTCTGAGTCTTGGGATATATTGGTATTAATGAGAAGTCGATAATTAGAGGAGGCCAAGCATAGCAGCGTGCACATAGCAGTAAAAACAGACTAGTAGTCGAGTCTGAGCCGTATATGGGTTTAGACTCTGCACAGTTTGTCATCACAATTAAGTCTCATATATATATATATATATATATATATATATATATATATATATATATATATATAGGCTATTTGTACTTCTCTATGAGTTAGAAGAGAGCATCCAATTTACTCGAAAGGTAATTTTCGCATTTTTTTCACTTTAATGTTAAGCACTTTAGTATTAAACAATCACACGAGGTTTAGCGGATTACGTGCCTTCACGCGCGTATTTACGTGCAAACCTACGACGGAACAATATGGTCTGCGGACGGAACAAGCAAAACTATTATCGATAAATCTGCAGGAATAAATCGCGTTACGAAGACTTTAGCCTCTAGTTGAAGCGATTTAGAAAGAATTAACTTTTAATTGGACGATGTTTGGTTGCATATTTTTTTCCCAATTTTGCACTCATTATAAGCATTTAATAGATGTGAGACGTAAGGCTAAAGTGTTTGTTTGAGGATCGAGTGTTTGCCATCATGCGATAGGCATAATCATTTATCATTCCTTTAATTATCCGCACGGTTTAGAAAAATGTCAGTGTCCCTTGATAAGTGCTGAGTTATTCTATAGAACAAACGCTTTTTATTATTTGCTACGAAAATTTCACTTGTAACTTTTACATGGTAGGTATCTGCTTAAGTTAGACGTTCAAACTACTACGTTTTGAAAACGGACGAAAGAGAACCGCTGCATTTATATATCGGTTCTCAACAAATTCCTATTTTCGAGGGTTGAATAGTAAAAAAGCTGGATGTAACGGCACCATCGAGGTACAAACCAATTATAATGGCCTAAATTATTTCTAGGGGCATCATTATTTTATCAGCTGCATGTTAAACAATAATTAGGTTTGCCTGATCGTTATACAGCGGTTGCGACACTTGACAAAGTATTCGATTAGTCTTCTCTATTCAAAGTTCAGATTTAATTGACGTTTGTAAAGAAGACTGTGCGTATAGAGTCGGTAGAACATAGCACACGCAAGAACTATCGATTCAAAATAGCCAAAGTTTGGCTCCAAGCGTCGTAGAATAAAATCGAAAAGAATAATAAATACAACTTAGTCAAAGAAAAAAAAATATGGAACAACACTTGATATGAGGTATAACGAAGGCGGTGTCAAGATAAATTCGGGCTGAGACAAACCTGTTTCATCATCAGCGAGCACGTCATAGAAGGGCGAAGCGGGTAGTTGTTTGAACGATCAATGCGAGGTTAACGAGAGACACTTTTTGCCAAAAGTGAATGGATGTCAAGCGCATTCATTTTCGGTAACATTCTAGTAAACGACCTTACGTACGGTTATTAGTATATCTGATAAACAAATCTCCCATAGAAATAGGCCCTATTGCTGTTAAGTCTGCAGTAAATTTCGATAGGCTAATGGTGTACTTGTCGGGAAGTGTAGAAATTGTATGGCCTTATTAAGTCATTAATGCGTAATCTACTGTAGAAATTTGTCGTGTTATTGCACTCTATAAAGATGCGCCCTATCTATTTAGGCAGTGCGGTGTTCCTATTTGCGAAAGCAAAGCGCCCGGATGCTATATATTACTCCTAGCTCGTCATCGAATAACAAAAAGTATGGGTATTATAGATAATAATGTACAACGGGTAA